CAAAGTAATTGTAGGCATGGGAAAGGAAGGACACGAGAGAGTTTGAAGAAGGGTATGAGTATTTATGGAAGGAACGAACCCATGCAAATGCCTCCCATGGAAACATCTCCCTGTAGGACTTACCTGGAATGGAGTAGACACGACAGTTTAGCAGTTTAGTGCAAGGCCATTCTTGGCGCAAACTGGGGTCTGAACATTTGTTCGGTGAATTTGGAAGCAACAGTTTGAACAATAGGTAGTGAACTCGTAAAATTAGGGATCACCTTTCATTAATAATAGGTGAATTAATGGAAGTTAGATGAGCAAAGAGAATGCTGTCAATATATTACATTTTAGGAGTTCAGTAGCACTAGTATTCAGGTTTTTGGAATAACAACATTAAAATTCCGTGTGACAGGAAAATGGGGGAAGGAATAGTCCTCAGAAGCCTGTGTCTGTATGCTGCAAATACTACATACCCCCCCCAACTGGAAAAGTGGTCCCACAGAATAATTCTGTTAAGCAAAGATTACTGGATGTCCCACAGACTTCAGAAACTGTGGAAATTCATGCAAAGTTCTCCAAATAGTTACCAGAAATTTTTCACATAGAACTTGGAGTATACAGACTATTAGGAAATGCTTAGAAAAACAGCTACCAACTTTTTGCAAATTTCTAGAATTTATTATTAAATCTGAAATTTGGACTTGAGAATGAGGGTGATCATGAAGAAGAACTATTATTGTGAAGTGTGCTCTACTTTAAGGGAAACACCAACTGACTGTTCACAGTAGTTTGATGAGAGATTTATTCTTTCAGCAAATAGTTGAGTGTCTATTACGATAGTTCTGTGCCAGTTTGGGGCATGTGGTGGGGAACAAACAAGATGCAGTTCCCACCTCATATTACTTAGAAGGCTGGTCAGGTCTTCCCATAGATATTCAACAATATGCCTAAACATATTTATAACTACAAACAGCTGAAAGTTCTTCGGAGGAGAATGGGTAATGAGACGTAAGGGATGTCAACATCAAAAATTCATAATTTGCTCTGTTTTCCCCACCACAGTTATTGCTGGAATATTCCTTTTTAATGTGAAGAATACCACCCCAGTGATCCTTAGAGGGCTCAATTCCAGGGAAACAGATTCACTTAAATCAGTAAGGAGCTGATAAACAAACCCTACATTATATTTATTTTTCTATTGAGTAGAGCCATCTTTTAAAATAAATTTTTGGGGTTCGTTTTTGTATATATAAAATTTGGAATAAATTTTAAGGGTTCTCATTACTGTAAATGGTAAGTAGTCAGTTTTTAAAAATAGCTTAATTGATTTGCTTTCAGTTCCTCAATACCTCCTTCTCTGTGAGGACCTTGTCTTCCTCCCTACCTCAGCTGCCCACTTTCTCTGGTCACGCTGCCAGATCTTGGCATTACCCCAGCACCAGGATTTTAGCGTTCCCTTCTCAGACTGTTCTCCAGTTTTCAGGGGTGGTTCCCAACCCCAGCAATGCTTAGACCCCACTGGGACCTTCAGTGCATTAATCCTGTCACCTTTCCATTGCCCTCTGCTCCTTTACACCCTCACCTCCCTCTTTATCACAGTCCCCTATGGTCCTCCCCCTGCCTACACCCGCTGCTCTCTAACCTTCTTTACCTCCATCACACCCACCTGAAAAACCCCAGTTCTGTGCCCCTAGGCTGATGAGGTTGGAGAAAAATCCCCAGCCATGCTGACTGGTCTTGCTTTGAATTCATGACCATTAACCTCAAATGGGCACTTAATAGCATTGCCTGGCAATCCTACCACATTTCCGTAGTTCATTTGCTTTCAGACTCTCCCAGAAGATAACCGTCTCACCTCTGCTCCTCTGTCTTCCAACTTCCAACGTCTCTTCCACGCTCACCATTCTCAGGAAGTAGGGTTCATGGCTATTTCACCAACATAAGAGAAGCAGTGAGAAGAGAACATCCCTGTGCTCCCACCTTGCCAGCTGCCAGCCCGTGGGTGCCTGGACCCCTGCACCCTGCCTTCCCTCCTGTGGCCAGCTTCTCCCAGCTTTGCACTAGCCTCGGGGCCCCTCCTTGAATGGGTGAAGCAGATTAGTTTCAGGGTCTTTGCTCTTGTTCTTTCTTCTGCTTTGGAGGTTGGAAACCTTACCTCACCCCCGCCCCCACGCCGATCATGTGACATGCCCCCTCTCTTCCTTCAGGACATCTTGGCAGTGAGGTTTAGTCTGCCCCTGTGGAAATAGCCACCACCCCAGGCACAAACCTCTTATCCCGCTCTTCCAACCCATGTACCACCACCCAGCATATTTGTGTATTTATTTATTATTTGTCTTCCTTGATGAGACAGATATTTACCCATTTCGTTTGCCACCTATCCCCTGTGACTACAACCGGGCTTGTTTCATTCATTCATTCATCCATTCATTCATCAGGTTTTTAATGATCTCCTATCAGTGCCAGACACTGCTCTAGGCATTGAGAGGATAGCGATGACAAGAACAAACCCTAAATCCCACTCTTTTGGCTAAGTAAATTGTTAGGTAGTGATAAGTGAAACATTCACAGCCCAGCAGGGGCCATAGAATGTGTGCGTTTGGGAGGGGTGGGTGAAATTTTATCTGGAGTGGCCAGGGTAGGCTTCCTTGAAAGGGGAACCTTACAGTGAAGACCTGAGGCGGGTGGGGAGCCGGCCACGTAGACCCTTGTGGGAAGGGCTTTCCAGAGAGGAAACAGCTAGGGCAGAGGCTGTGAGGTGGGAGTGTGCCCAGGTTATTTCAGGACTTGTGTGGAGGCCAGGGAGACCCGAGGAAGTTAGCAAGGGAGAGTAGGAGACCAGGTCAGAGTGGTAAAGGAGGACAGGAAGGAAAGCTCATGTAGGGTCTTCTGCACATTTGGGGAACTTTCATTTTGAGTGAAATAGGGAGCAAAGGAAGGATTATTTTTGATATGTGATATGGATATATAACCATACTCAAGTTTTCACAACTGCCCTAATAATGTCCTGTAAAAAAAGTATCCAGTTTTTATTACCATTTGTGCAAGGGGCAAAATCAAATTTCAGAACATGTGTAGTTCAATAATTATCATTTGGGGCTCCTAGAACTTCACAAAGAAAGGTCATCTCTTGGTTAAAAAATACAGTTTTGTAATGTCATTTTATAGCTTACCTCCCCAATCCTGGATTTAATCAAGGATCATACACTGCATTTAGTTGTCATGCCTTTTTAAAAGACAGTTTTGTTGAAATAAAATTCACATACCATATAATTTACCCACTTAAAGTGTACGCTTCAGTGGCTTTCAGTATGTCGAGTTGTGCAACCATCACCACAAACTAAGCTTAGAACTTTTCATCATCCCCCCAAAAAACCCGAAGACATTGAGCTATCAAACTCCTCCTACTCCCTTCCCACCCCACCCCCAAATTTCCCATTCCTCCAAACATAGGCAGGCACCATTCTACTTGCTGTCTGTATAGATTTGCCTCTTCTGGATATTTCATATGAACAGAAGCATACAAATATGTGCCTTTTGAGTCTGGCTGCTTTCACTTAGCATTACGTTTTCAAGGTTCATCCATGCAGCACATGTCCGTACTTCATTCTTTTTATGACTCAGTAATGTTCCATTGTATGGATAGCACATTCTATTTATCAAGGGTTTTGAGGAGGGTTTTGAGGAGACGAGTGACCTGATCGGAGTGGCACTTAACAACGCTCACTCTAGCTGTTGTTCCAAGGAAACAGAGAATGGTGAACTGTATCAAATGCTGCTTTTAGGGAAAATAAGATGAGCCCAGAGAATTGGCCAGTGAATGCTCAAATAGTTCAATGAGGAAACTGGCAGAAATACTCTTATAATTTTTAAACCATATTTTACCTGTTTTATGGGATTTGTTGCATTTCCTTTGAATACTTAAACATGGGATGCAGAAATAAGTTAATAAATTAGAATTTAAAATGGAATGTGGACATGGAGCTGTACGTGAATAAATGGAGAGTACCGTTAATTTACCTCCGTCTTTGATTTTTTATTTACATCAGTGGTAATGATTCTTTTGGTTGTGAAGTGCATTCCTCAGAATAATTATTTGTCTCTAAACATAGCTCAACATTATAACTATTCATGAGTTCATGCCAGCTTTCAAAAAGATATTTTCAATGTCTCTGCAGATCAGGTAGATGCGAGCTAGTTTGTTTTCATTTTGGGGGGGCTGGCATCATCTAATGATTGTAAAAAAATTAGTTTCATTGATGCCACAATGAAATTTCAATATGATTATTTCGAACAACAAGGTAACCTACTGGAATCATTAGATCTCGAACCGGCACAAAACACTTGCACTAGTTCAGGGTTTGGTATAAGCACATACAATCGTTACTAGGCTATCGATTCTGAGTATATGCAACTTCTGGGGCATGCAAATACTAGGATAGGAAGTGAAGGGCAATGAAAACTAGCCATAAAAAGGCGAGCTTCGAGAGACAATTGTCAAAAATGCACTCCACGTTTATAGTACGGTTCGGTGTGTGCGGTGGACGTGTTGCTCAACATTTCGCAAAATGAACACTGCATGCACACTGAACTTCACTCGCAGATAATGCACTGAGTCCGCTGAGCCCTGACTGAAGGAAGAGGAAGGGAGAAAAGTGAGGACCCGCCGCGTTGTTTTTCTCCTTAGAATAAATGGGGCGTGGGGCTGGCGGCGGCGGGTGGGGAGGAGGCTGGGCTCGCTCCCCCGCGCCGACCCGGGGCCCGGCTGCGGCGCGCTCGCGTTGGCCGGGCCGGGAATTTGGAGAGGATCCCTGGTTGCGCGGCGGCGGCGGCGCGCGGGTGCGCGTGCGAGCGAGTGAGCGAGCGGGCGGGCGGGCGAGTGCGCTGGTATTGGCAGCCGAGGAGTGGAGGCTGGGCTGCCCCGACTCCCTGACGCCAGCGCGACCAGATCAATCCTGGCTCCGGGAGCGAGCGGGCGGGCGGAGGAAGCAGAGGCCGAGCGGCTCAGCCGGGCCGAGGCGCGGGCAAGGACCCTGCGAGCGCAGCGCTGCGCAGCGCCCGGCCGGCCGGACAGGGGCCGCGGGACGCCGCTCGCCCGGCCACTCGTGCGCCCGCGCGGAAAGGCGCACCGCCAACCCGGTAAAATGAAACAGACCCGAACCCAACTTTCTCCCCTGCCTCGTCCCCGCCCTCCGCGCGGCGCCCTGGGCTTACAGCGCCCCCGCCGCCTGTGCTGGGGCGGCCGCGGGGCCGCGGCGGGCAGGGGGCTCTTCCCGCGTGGGCGGACCGGCTCCCCCGCACCCCCCATGATGGCGCCTCCCGACCGCCCGGAGGAGCGGACCTGCCGCCGCCTCCTCCCCCTTTCCCAGCCGGCCAGGCAGGGCCGGGCCGGGCTTCCCCTCGCGTCTTTGTTGGGTCTGCGGAGGGGAAGCCGCGCTCCTCGGCCGCGAGCCTCGCCCCGGGCCCTGCCCGCGGCGGGCCGTTCCCTGCCGCCCTCCCCTCCGCCCGCAGCCCGGCCGGGGCCCCTCCGCGCGGCCCGGGCGGCCCCTGCGGGCGTCGGAGGGCATCTCCGGCGCTGCCCTGCGGGCGCTCGGCGCCTCGCGGAGCCCGTCCCGACGCGGGGGACGCCCGGCGCCCCGGGCCTCTCCGCGTCCCGCGCGGGTTCCCTTCTCAGCCCCAGGGAGCGTCTTGGGGGGTCGAGGTCAAGGGAAGTTCGCCCCGAAATTCCCAATTTACTCAAAAGGTTTGGCGGCGGCGCGTAATTTTTTTTTTCCTCTTCCGCCTACACCCCCTGCGTCTCCGAGTGTCGTCTCATTCCTTTCCCTTCACCGGATTCGGTTGCCTCACTGCGTGTGTGTGTGTGTGTGTGAGTGTGTGAGTGTGTGTGAGTTCGCTGCCCAGCAGCCGTTCGCGTACTCTGCTCCCTGTCTTTGTTGGTGTTCCTCGGGGTTGTTTCTGTAGGAAAGTGGGGGTGGTGGGTATCGGAGAGACCGACGTGGGCTGGCTTTTCTAGTTGCTTAATATATATGCAGACTTAAAGGGAGAGCGTTTCCTTGAAGTGCTTTAGGAAGGGAGGGGAACTGCCTGCCGGATCTTACAGACACTGGAGCTGCGGCTTTTGTTTATTTTGAGGCGCATACAATTTTTGAATACACCGTTCAAGATAACCAGCAAGGCGCTTCCCCTCCGAACCCTGAGGCGCGTTTCAGAACCATCTGAGAAAGCATCGTTTTCGTGAGTGCTTTGACAGCCGGCCTTCCTCTTTCCCCCTCTGTTCTCTCCATTGCATCTGAAGTTTCAAAGTGTGTGGAATGATACAGAAGTTGCATGGTTTCTCTGTGTCTTGCTGTTGCCGAAACTCTTAGCAGCAAAATCTCAGAATACCTTTATTTCAAAAATAAATTTCTCCCTCTGATTGCCTGTAGTGGACAGCCTGCCTGCGCGCAGTAATAATGAAATGAGAAAACTGTTCTCTGCCAGCACTGATTTTTCTACCTTTTTATAATTACCACTTGATGTTTTATTGGAGGTAGGGGAGCTGTTCTGGAACAACTAGTTAAGAAGAATCGAGGCAGAATCAATGTCCACTGCCCCAGCACTTTGAATTAGTATAAATATTTCCCATCGGTGTTATTTTGATGTAGGTGCCAGGCCTAAATATGCTGTACTAATTAAAGTGTAGTCCCCTCTCTCTCCCTCATTCCCATTTGCAGTTATTTGATATTTCTGTGCAGGTGGTGTACATTTGTGTAAATACCGCAATTCTTAGGAAACTGTAACCAGGGTCGTGAAGAGATGATTTCCTAGAGGTGGGTTATGCCAGAGCTTCTAGAGGATCCAGGCAGGATCTGGTTTCTTCTGAGGGTAGGGATTTGTCCTTGATTTAGTTTTGACCCCTCTAACCCTAGGTACGTAACCAAATACATTTTTCCTTTTTGCAGTATCCTTTGGTTTTATACCCTTGAAGAGCTGGTGACCTTTTGTATTTCAGAGAAGGGACAGTTTTTAGGCAATTTAAAATGGTAACCTCTTACACCTCTTGGAATTTAAGTATTGTTTCCTGCTAATTCCATCAAAGCCTTAAAAAGAAGTCTTATTTTCCTAAATACATTTACCAGTTAAAAATAAAATTTCAGTTTGTAATTTTGATTTCTGGTTCTTCTGGGTTAAAATAAAATTAATAACTTGGTTACACTGGAAAAAGAATGAACTTAAATGATTAAATGAAGATATTTAAGCTGCAGTCGCCTCCATAATCAAGGCCGAGTTGTGTGTGTATCAAAGATCTCATTTGTGTAGTCTTACAAGGCTAATGGAGGCATCACTGAAGCTTTATAAATAATGTAAGTTGTGTATAATGTAGAGTCTCCAGAGACGGCAGAGAAAGCATCATTACCAGCCTTTTCAACCTGCTTGAGATCTTAAATTGATTTACAGCACTGAACTGGTGCAAAATGATACATCAGGATGACATGGGGTCAGCCTGTAAAAGTCTATGATGTCAGCCTATTAGTTCAGTCATCATAATTAAACCATATTACAGGGGCAGCTAAGCAGGAGTCTGGCGTTATACTTCAAATATGGATGGTACATGTATTTTGTTTATAGTGGGAACACCAAACTGGCCAGGAATACTAGTATTTCTGAAAGAGGGAAAAGCTTTGTGAACCCTTGATTTTCTGAAAAAAATTGAAGTTAAATGTAGGGATGTTCAGTGTACGTTGTCTAAGAAGATTTCCATTTGGTAGCGGAGAAATAGCCGCTTAGGCAGTACTGATATAAGGACCTTTGCAGCTCTGGTCAGTGTACTGACTAATGCTGAGAGCTTGAATTTAACTTGACCTTAGGGACCTTCTAAAATATCAGAGGACCACATACTCTTATCTCTGATCCTTTCATTAGCACTGGGTTGCACTGTATTGATCTATCAGTTGACATGTTATTTAACTAGTTATAGTTACCAGGTCTCCACTGAAAACGTTTTGAGCATATGAACAATTCAGGGAAAGAAGACCCTTGCTTTTTGTTTAAATTTCTGGCAGTTAATTTATGGGTCATCCAGAGCTCTGCTGTCCACAAGTCAGCCATAGCCACATGTGGGTATTTAAATTTAAATTAATTAAAAATTTAAAAAATGCTTCTTCTCAGTAGCACCAGCCCTACCTGTGGCTAGTGGCTGCCATATTGGACGATGAAAGTAGAACATTCCATGAGCACAGAAGGTCCTGTTGGACAGTACTGCTCTACAGCCTTTACCTACCTCTCCTCTTCCTCCCTTTCTCTTCATCTTTCTGCTTCCTCTTTGCTTGTTACCTCTACTAATGAGTTTGTGGGTTCAAGGAAGAAAGAAATAGATCAATTACGTTTGCTACTTACTAGCTGCTCTTGTTAAAATAAAACACATTTTTGGAAGTCACGGTTGAAGTGCTGAATAAAATGAGGTTGACTTTTCTATGGAGCATGTTTATCACAGATCCTAATTTGAGTTAGAGCTTTGGATAGGAGAAATCATGGTAGCTAATTTTTTCTGAGTTTTTACTATGTGCTTGTAATGAATATTCATATCTCATTGAAGCTTCAAAACTTAACGTGTATTGTCAGTACCATAATTTTCAGATAAAGAAACTGAGTTCACAAGTGATTCAGTGTCTTGCCTCAGGCTACGTAACTAGTGAGTATAGTTTACAGTCTTAGCTGGGGTATAAACAATGCAGTCTGACTCTAGAGCCTCACTGTTTTCTAACTATATTTTTTCTTTCTTTCTTTTCTGTCTACAATACCCAAATCACTGTTCTGCTGGGTTTTACCATTTCAGTTTACGCATGACTTTGCTTTTCTTTTTTAGGCCTTAAGACAAATTCGCCCTTCACTGTGCTTTTCTGAACTATCTTCCATTGTCCTCTTTTATGTGCTTAAGAAACATAACATTAATACCTATCTAAGCAGAACACAACTGGAAGTATAAATCTCACATAAAAGTAAGGCATTTCAAAGCCATATTAGTTTTATCTCTGCTTTTCTGAAGAATCCCTGCCTCTTTCCTCTTGTGTTTTTCTTGTAATGTCACAAGCTGCTACACCTGAAGAGGGAAGTCCTAGTAGTTCAATTTATTTCATCAAAACTAGTCTTTCCTTAGCTGTTAAACACAGCACCTTGAGGTAAAAATAGTTCATTGTTAATTCTGGAAATTTTTTTTCTCACATTTGATGTCTCCTTTTGTGTAGTCTTAACAGTTTAGTTGTTCTTTTTTTAAAAAATTTTTTTCTTAAGGTATTATTGATACACACTCATATGTAGGTTTCACATGAAAAAACAATGTGATTACTACATTTACCCATATTATCAAGTCCCCACCCAAACCCCAATGCAGTCACGGTCCATCAGTGTAGTAAGATGCCACAGATTCACTATTTGCCTTCTCTGTGCTACAAGTTCAGTTGTTCTTAACATTTTTTCCCCTTTGGTCAGGGATGAAACTGGGTCCTACGTCTTCTCACTCCCACCTTCCAATCCAAAAATGTCTATATTCCTTGGTGTGCTTGTGTGTACACTTAAGAACCCAAATTGCATGGCATTTCAGGACAGCCATGAAACTGCCTTGCTGAGTATGTTCATAAACGTTACGATTTGTAACTTCCTTTATGGAAAATGGAGGTATTTAGTGTTAAAAGCTGCTTTCAAGATTTTCTAGTCCAGTTGGCTCCTATCAAATTGGACAATCTAAGGCCCAGAGAAAATAACCAACTTGCCTAAAGTCACCCCTCTAGTGACTGGAAGAGGGAAAGCCAGAATTTGGATCGGTCTTACTGTTGTTGAGTTTTTGTTTTTTCCAGCCACACTTGCTGTATTCCTGAGGCTTTTGATCTGAGCATATACAGTATAATTTGGGGAGGGAAGGAAGAATTTCTTGGCATCATACTGACTTTTTGTACCTAATATTGTTTGAGCTGAGCAGGAGTCAAGTCTGACAACCTCAGAGCAATGTTTTTTACAGATTAAAATTAATGTTTTTTAAGAAATGGAAAGAAAAGCCCTGTGTCTAATTTAATCATTGGGACCTTACTAGAAAATGGGAGATCAAGAGTGTACAAAGTTCAGTTAAACCAGGCAGTTCTGCTATATGAATCTCGTCTTTTGAT